CTTTTATTGTGAAAGGTATGTGATATTTGAGAGCTGTCTTTTATTGTGAAAGGTATGTGATATTTGAGAGCTGTCTTTTATTGTGAAAGGTATGCGATATTTGAGAGCTGTCTTTTATTGTGAAAGGTATGTGATATTTGAGAGCTGTCCTTTATTGTGAAAGGTATGTGATATTTTAGAGCTGTCTTTTATTGTGAAAGGTATGTGATATTTGAGAGCCGTCTTTTATTGTGAAAGGTATGTGATATTTGAGAGCTGTCTTTTATTGTGAAAGTGTGTGCAAGTCGTCATGTGATCCTCGTGCTTCAGCTCGCTCACTTCTCCTCAGCATGCTCCTTCTCCTTCAGCAGGAGCTTCATCTGCTCTTCGATGTGTTGCACATCCTCTCCGAGCTCCTCCCCATCCTCCTCTGCTGACCTCCCCTTGTTGTCCTCCTGACCTTTGACCCCCAGCAGCAGTAACCTTCGTTGCTTCTCTTGAGAAAGTTCCTGAAAACAACAGAAGACGATCAGTTTAACAGACATGAGAAATAAAACAGGAGTTTCAGGTAAGATGATTATTTTGCCTGAAAACAAAACGGTGGCTCATTATAATAATTAATGATGATTCCCCCGTGTCCGTGTGCAGCCTCAATAATCCAGGACACCCCCCCCCCCCCCAGAATAAATGAATGAATGAATAAAGCCATTCATAAAACAAATCAACTGGATTTCTGTTCTTCTGTTGAAGACATTTGTCTTCTCCTCTAGGAGGTTTCTCAGTTCTCTCCAGGAGAGCACTGCATGAGATGCTCTGTTTATGCAGCTCAACTCACATGCAGGTTAACCTCCCTCCCCTCCCTCCTGAGGGTCATCAGGTGTTTGGCTCACAGAGGTGTTTTGGTCACCTGATGACCGTCTGGGTGCTGCTCCTCCTCCGTTTACACTTGTTTATGATGGAGAAAGTAAAGAAGCTCTCCACAGACGCATGGCTCAACGTCAGGACACTCTGCTGAGGACCAGCAGGTCCAGATGTTGCACAGATGTTTTAGAGGGAGGGGTGAAGGAGCCAACTTTAAACAGAGGAGGTCTCAGATACCCTCCGTTTAAATCCCACCTTCATCAGGTGACACACCTCTGTGAGCCAAACAAACACCCTGATGACCCTCAGGAGGGAGGGGAGGGAGATTAACCTGCATGTGAGTTCAGCTGCATAAACATGGCATCTCATGCAGTGTAAAGCCTGAAACTCCACACTCTCCTTGTTTAGATGTTAGGCTCGATAAAACGACTATAATCCATGCAGTCTAACAGATACTGGGCTAACATTTGGGGTGGTGGTAGCTGAGAGTCGTAGAGAACACAGTGTGAGACGCTCCTGTCTCACTCAGGGGTGAGCATGTTATTTACAAGAGGCGACCACGCAGCTGTACCTCCTGTTAGTCTAGCCCTGTAGCTGTTCAGCCCTCATGCTCTTCACATTTGGATTAATAAAGATCTCTTCTGACCTCGATGGACTCCTGCAGATTAACAGTTAAACTGTTCAGCTCCTCCTTCTCCCGCTCCACACATTTCAGGGACTGAGCGGTGCCGTCCAGGTCTCTGCCCACAAACACAAGGCCCACTAACACTTGAACACTGTCCTCAGAGCTGCTGGCGGATCAGTACGAATGTGAGTTCTTACAGTTTGATCTGCTCCTGCTCGGCCTTCAGCTCCAGGACCACCTCCTCAAACTTCATTTTCTCCTCCTCCAGAACTTGGTTGAGACGCTCCAGCTCCTGCAGAGTCCAAAAGGACCGTTAGGGCCAGTTTTTCTAACTAAAACCCAAACACCCAAAAAGGGCAGCACGATGGCTCAGTGGTTAGCACTGCTGCATCACGGCGAGAAAGTCCTAGGTTCAATCCCCGGTTTGGGCCTGGGGTCTTTCTGTGTGGGTGTTAGTCCGCCTTCAGGCCCAGGAGGACCTTGAAGATGTGACCACCTGCCAGGTGAATTATAAATGATGCATGGTGTTGCTCTCACCTCTCGCTGCGCCCGCTGGTGACTCAGCTCCTCGGTCTCTTCCATCAGTTTATCTGAAGGAAAACAAACTCGTTGGTTCAAGTCTTCATGAGGCTGGTTAGTCAGGTGGGTTGGCTCTAGTTACCCAGGTACTCTTGTTTCTCCTTGGCCAGCTGCAGGCCCTGAGCCTCCAGGCTCTCAATCATGGCCTCCCCGAGCTGTGAGTTTTTCCACGTGCTGTTTGTCAGGTTAAAGAAAGGAGGACAAGGAAAAATAAAACTAATCACTTTTAAAGTGTCCTCGATCAAAAGAGAGAGCGGACTCTTGGTTTTACAGGCGCATCGTTGAAAAGGGACTACTCACACTTTTCCTGAGTTCTGGAGCATCTCCATCCACTGGACCTGCTCCTCCTCAGACTCAGCAGCCAGGACTACAGTTCCCTACCAGGTGAACAGAGAGGTCGTGTCAGAGGTAACACCCTGCTGTGGGACCAGCAGTTCTGTGGGCAGGTGTATTGCTGTGAATCACAGCAGGGATGAAGACCCTTCAGCCCAAAGCACGAGGCCAACTCCTCATTTTACACGGGTCTTTCCTTTAAGAGACTGTTTTAAAGTGTGAAGCTTCCCACTCATTACAATTCACCTCTAAAGGACTCACAAAGAGTCTGTTGGTGCTGATGGAGACCTTCAAGAGTTATTAGATGTCACATGGTTTTCTCTAAAACTCACAGGAACCAGTTTTCATTAGTTCAAATCAGTTTAATTATATACAGTAAGGACCAGTTCACAACAAACATCTCAGGCCTCTGAACAACAACAACAAACATATCAGGCCTCTGAACAACAACAAACATCTCAGGCCTCTGAACAACAATTAACATCTCAGGCCTCTGAACAACAACAACAAACATCTCAGGCCTCTG